TAGCCAGGATGGTCTCGATCTCCTGACCTCGTGATCCGCCCATCTCGGCCTCCCAAAGTGCTGGAATTACAGGCTTGAGCCACCGCGCCCGGCCTGCCTGGCTAATTTTTGTATTTTTTAGTAGAGACGGGGTTTCACCATATTGGCCAGGGTGGTCTCGAACTCCTGACCTCATGATCTACCCACCTCAGCCCCCCAAAGTGCTGGGATTACAGGTGTGAGCTACTGTGCCTGGCCATATTTTTTAATCTATAAAAATTCCCTCAAAAAAGGTGTAAAATGGGTGTTTTCTTACCAGCATACTATTTTTCTATGAAACTGCTTTCCAATTTTAGAAAAAGTAAAGATAGATTATTCAAACTTTTTTGAATTTCAAAAAATAAAAAGGCACACAGTGAAAAGTTTCCTCCCCACATATATTCTCCATCCACTCAGTTACCATCATCCTCCCCAAACAGGTAACCACTGTTATTGGTTCCTCGTTTCACCTTCCAGGGAATCTGCATGTATCAACCATCACTTCCTCTTTCAAAAAACAAGAATGGGAGCACGCAATGCATATTTTCCTATACTTTGCTCTTGTATTTTTTTTTTTTTTTTTTTTTTGAGACAGTCTCACTCTGTTGCCCAGACTGGAATGCAATGGCATAATCTCAGCTCACCGCAACCTCCGCCTCCCAGGCTCAAGCAATTCTCCTGCCTCAGCCTCCCGAGTAGCTGAGATTACAGGCGCACGCCACCAGGCCTGGCTAATTTTTGTATTTTTTTTTTTAGTAGAGACAGAGTTTCACCATGTTGGCCAGGCTGGTCTCGAACTCCTGACCTCAAATGACCCACCTGCCTTGGCCTCCCAAAGTGCTGGGATTATAGGTGTGAGCCACTGCACCCAGCCTGCTCTTGTAACTTAACAAGATATTTTGGAGATCTCTCCACGTCAACTAAGAAAAGAGCTTCCTCGTTCCTTTCTACAACTTTACAACCTCATTAACCATCTGGGTATGGACTTATCTGATAAGTTCCCTGCTTGCTGATGGACACTCAAGGCAATAAATAATCTCCTACCTATGTTATCTCACACATGTACAAATATATCTGCAGGTTAAATTCCTAGAACTGGATTGCTGGGTCAAAGGATTTACACGCCTATAATTTTTAAAGCTACTGCCTAAAGCACTTGTAACTATCAGGGTCCACCCAGAGAAAGAGACATCCAGAGCAACCATCCCTTTAAGAATCTGATATAGAGGGAATTTAATATAAGGAATTAGTGACAGGCGTGTTGGAAAAACTGAAAAGCCAAACAGGAAATGATAACCCAGAGATTAGCAACAGCAAGCTGCTGTTACCACTTCTCAAATAGAGGGTAAAAGGGAGGAGGTATTTCCAAGACTCAAAGACTAGGACCAAGGGGCAGAAGCTGAAGCCAAAAGAGACAAGGCACCTGCCAGAGACTCTGCCTGAGGCAGACCCAGGGGAAATAACCTGTTTTCGTCCTTCCTCCTGCCATTCCTCCTGCCAGTGGCTCCCAGTGGCCAATCCCAGCCGGAAGCCAGCTGACCAAGGGCCTGGGAAATGTGCCTGCAGGGGTGAGTCTCTGCAGGAAAGGGCAAGAAATGGACCTGAGCCAACAGGACATGGGCTGACCCTGCCTGTGACTAATTTACACTCCTACCCGTCAATGTTTGAAACGGCCTTGCCGTTCAAACGTTTCAAACTGGAAACAGACTTTTCACACTTGGGGGTTATCGCCTGTCTGAAGGTGAAAGGTGGGAGCTCAGTCTAGTCTTAATTTGCATGTATTTTATTATGAACAAGGCTCAGCATCTCTTCACCTGAAGCACAGACACCTACATTGATCAGGGAGTGAAGGGGGCAGAGAGAGGAATGCCAATTAGAGTTAATTCACCTCGTCTGCCAGGGATGATCCATTCAGGACCATACATCAGACAGATGCCCAAAGAGGGCATGAAAACAATCCCAACGGGCCAAACTAGTCAGCCACCCTCCAAGTAGAGACTTAGCTGAAGAACTGTTCTTGAAAAACTGAAAGGCAACAAAGTCCCAAAGGAATTAAAGTGCCTTAACTACACTCTGCACACACTGTAAGGAACAATGTGTTCTCCTAATCTTGTAACCCCCTACTCCCTCCTCTTGTAACTGCCTTCCAGCCATTCACGCCACCATCCTCTCTCTCCTTATCTTGCACTGAAAGAACAATCCAGTGGACAAAAAGCTAAATTAACTTATAAAAACAGCAAGTAGGAATCCATTTTTCAAGTCTTTTAACCTGACCATTAAAAAAAAAAGACCTTTTCAATTATCTTTGGCCTCTGCGATAACTACTGTTGGAATAGATTATTTACCCTATCTTTTAAACAAGCCGAACTGACTCCCCCAGATACTGTTCAACATTATGTACCATACTCTAAAAATATACCAAAAAATGTTATGCTTTATAATCTGCTGGCAACTGAAAACGGTTTTCTTTCAAAGAGCTGAACTTTATTTTTTTAAACATGAATTTTAAAGCATTTTTTAAAAATCTAAATGGTATTAACTGTAAAGAGGTATGTTAACTTCAAAACTTCCAACCACCAAGAGTTAAATATAAGCACATAAAGTTTATACAATAATTACAATATCACTCATATTTCAAAACGTTTTCACCTGTTTCAAAAATAAATATCCTAATATTGCCAAAAATATTTTTAAGTGTCTGTCACATAGCAAGGGAGAAAGCTACTAATAAACTAAATCAATAAAGGTTAAAAGTTATTTTCCAGCACCTAACATGCTGGCTGGTATTTTGATGGGTAATCAATAAATAAATCCTCATTGCTGAATGTTCCAGTGAGATGAATTAAATGATACACTTAAAACACTCCTGTCTTTGACGAGTTTTTTTTTCAAATCTGGAATACACACTTATTTCAGAAACTTGGAAAATATAAAAAGAAAATAATCCATGTCACTAATTTTTATGTTGTTTAGACCATGATGTATAAAACGGCTTATTTTAATGGTTGTAAAATACTTCAATAAACTTCCCATAATTTACCTCACCATGCCTCTACTCTTGGCATTGCTGTTTCCAATTTTTTGCTATTATAAACAGCATAATACACATCTTTATATGTGAGGGGTTTAAGGTTGTTACCCTGTGATATATTCCCAGAAGAGATATTAACAACCCAAGGACGGTTTTAAGACTTTTGATATTTAATATCATGCTTTGTTACAGTACTCAAGATCTGCAAATTGCTGGAGCACATTAAAGCCGCCTTTTTTCCTCTTTATGCCTGCTTTTATCTTCAAGTCTACACTTCTTTACTCACAAAGCCCAAAGCACCTTACAAACAAAACTGCCAAGCCAGCTAGCTGCCTTGACGCTAATGTCCAACGTTTGCATATTACAGTTGTCTTTCTTTTCTAACAAGGGAAAACTGCTATGCCCAAATTGTGACAGGCAGGAAACACGACATCCACCGGGAATCCATTCCTTAGGATCTCATGGCTCCAGACGGACAGCCTGACTGTAGGAGGGTTCGCAACTCGGCTCCTTCGTTCCACAGCGCTCCCTTTTCATCAACACACCCACTCGGTGCCACAGTGCTACCCCAGCTTCAACTATGCGAACTGAACTCGCCAAATGCCATGACGGGTGCCAACTTCCCACCATCCTGGCTGCATCGCGTCTTTCAGCAAAAAAAAAAATCACCCTCTGAGCAGCACTTGAATTCTAGAAGGCACCTTGATGATGAACCACTTCATCCTGAAGCATTCAATCCTGCTGATTCTTACAGGCAGCTGCTCCGGCAGCCTGTAATTAAGATTTCTCTAAACTGCTCCCTTATTACATGGGGTTCTGATGATTCTGATGATTTCTCTGTCAGCTCAAAGGAGATCTTTAGAGAAAAAAAAAAAGTCTAGAGAACCTCAACTTCGGCTGTTCCTGTAAAAACACGGGCATTAACCCTTTGCTTTCCAAAGCGAACACCCACTCCATACAGAGGCACGTTCTTCTGTTTTTAAAATCTAATTCCCAGCATGACCTAGCAGTCATTTGTATTCCACGAAATAATTTCCAACAAACACGATTCCTCCAGCAAGAAGAAACCGAACGTCAGGCACAAGACCACCTGGGCCACGCCGGGCACCGATCCGACCCACTCGGGAGCACACGGGGCTGCAGGCACACCTGGCTCTCCGGTCTCGCCTTGGTGCTGGGTGCAGCTCGTGACTCCCACCCTCGACCCCACGGAGTTTTTTGCTCACTCTGTCGCGTCTGCCGTTTCCCAAAACGTCTACCCTGACCTGGACTCCAGCTGGCCCCCTCCCAGTTCGAGCAAATCCAGCGACCGTTTCTGACCCAAAGCCAAGCAGACTGTCACGCTTTCCAACCGTTCCCCGGCCCTCCCCTCCTGTACCCCCGAGGAGCCTCCAGTGCAAAACTTTCCCCTCCCGGTTTCCCACCGGCTCAGCCGCTTCCGCCCACCTGAGCTGAAAGGGGGCGTCCGAAACGCCGGACTCCGGAGGGCGTGGACGCCCTTGGCGACAAGATGCGGGGAAGGTCGCCCCGCAAGGTCCCCCGCCCCAGAGGGGCGGCCCCCGAACCCCAGCCCGAGACTCCGGGGCGACCCCGGCCCGCAGCAGCCCTGGCCTGGTACCCAGACCCTCGGCAGCGGTGGACGGCGACCCCGGCCCGCCCCCTCCCTCGGGCCCCCGGAGACCCCGCCGCGGCCCCGGCCCGGCGCGCCTCAGGCCTCCAGCAGGCGCCGCCGCCGCTGCCTCCGACCCCCTCTCCTCCGGCGACCCCCGGTCCCCGGCCCCCGACCCCAGGCCGCCCGCAAGCCCGCCACACCTCCGACACTCACCGCCACCACCCTCGCCGCCGCCGTCTTCATCCATCTTGAGGCCACTCTCGCAGCTGGCGAGCCGGAGGCCGGCAACAGAGGGGCCGAGGGCTGGGGACGCCGCCGGAGGGAGCGCGGGGAGACCGGGCGGCTCCTCAGCTCGCGGCCCGGGTCGCGGCCGGGCCTCCTCCCGCCGGGCGGGGCCTCGCTGTTCGGCGTGCCGTCACGTGACCCATGCCCCGCCTCTGCTCGCAGTGGGTGGGGCGTGGGGCCGCGCGGCCCCGCCCTCGGGGACCGGCCGGGCCCGGCGGCGTCTGCGCTGGGGGAGGCGGTAGACCCGGCCCCTGGGGTGCGGGCCGACGTGGTGCGAGTGAAACGAAGCCCCCTCGCCCTCAGCATTCCAGTAGCCTGCGGACGGGCGTGGGGCCCCGGACACTGGAACGCAACACTCTGCAAAACCCAGTGGCCAGGGGTGCAACATACACGTGCACTGGGGGTAAAAGATCAGGAAACGAACGCATTCAGAAGTCAGGCCTGGCTAGGCTCGGGGGCTCACACCTGTATTCCAATACTTTGAGAGGCCGAGGTGGGAGGATGGCTAGAGACCAGAAGTTGGAGACCAGCCCCGGTAACATAGCGAGACCCCGTCTCTACAGAAAATTTTTTTGATTACCTGGGCATGGTGGCGTGTGCTTGTAGTTCCAGCTACTGGGGAGGCTGAGGTATGAGGTCAGGTCAGTTGAGCCCAATAGGCAGAGGCTGCAGTGAGTAATCATTGCATCACTGCACTCCAGTCTGGGTGGCAGAGTGAGACCCTGTCTCAAAAAAACAGAAAAAGATCAGGCCTTCTCCTTCCTAAGACATGCATGTGAGAATAATTCCAGGCTTTCAGCTGTCTTATATATATTGGAGGCTCTCCTCCTTCCCTCCTGGTGAGTGCATGTTTAAATTAACAAAATGCAGGGCTTGTAAACGAACGTGGTCGTGAGGTTAGAACGGAATCCCAGTCCAACACACCTAGGGCTCAGCTCTCAAAGGGCATTGTAGGCGTTGGCCAATCTGGCGGTGATGCCCTTGGAGTTTAGCGCCAGTCTCCCTTGGAGAGCTGCCAGCTGTCCTGGATTTATGATGCAGAAGGAGCTCTGAATTCAATTTCCCTTGGGCACAGCCAGGGTCCTCAGCGCGGGCCTCCTGGGCAGAAGGCCTCCCCTGGCCCCTGCTCCACATCTATGGATCTCCTCTCTCACTCCCCATATCTCGCTTCCAGTAACTCCTGAAGCATTGCTTGTGGCCCCTCCCAAGCCTTTCTGCTAGAATTCAATTGCATTAAAGAAAAGCAAACATTGTAATGGAGGAGATAGCTCATCTCTAATATAATTTTCCAGCAACTGTTTCATATTTACAAGCTGTCCATTGAACCAAAGGATCCTTCCGTTGTCATCTATCAAAGTGGACAACTTTCACCTTTTGGTTCAAGGTTACAGGATGATTTCAAAGTTCAATCTCCTAATAACCTCAAGAATTAAACACCAAGCATTCTCGTGCAACCAAAGCCACGAGGGACACTTTTTTTTTTTCCCCCCGAGACCAGGTCTCGCTCTTTTGCCCAGTCTGGAGTGCAATGTCTCGAGTGATCCTCACACTTCAGCCTCCCAAATAGCTGGGACCATAGGTACACGCCACCACGCGTCGGCTAATTTGTGTATTCTTTTGTAGAGACGAGATCTTGCGACGTTGCCCAGGCTTGTCTCAAATTTCTGGCCTCAAGCAATCCTCCCACCTTGGCCTCCCGAAGTGCTGGGATTACAGGCATGAGCCACCGCACCCAGCCAAGGGACACTTCTGCGTGCAAAGGTGTTTGATGACTTGAGCGACAAAGAGGCACCAGAAAAGGGATCTGGGAGTCAGGAGATGTAGGGTTCAACCCCCAACCCCAGACTCGGCTTCCTGATCTTGTTCCCGTCAGCTTTGTTATCTTGGAGATAAGAGCTTAGTTACAGAGAAAAAATGACAGTATTACTTTGAACTTGATAATGAGATATGTGGAGCTTTGAACTCAAAGATACTATCAATTATAAATGCTTTTTCATGTCAATTCTTAATTCTTTAGGTGTCTTAGAATGTGATCCACAGGTGCTTTTTTTTCTCAGAGTTTTAATCTGAAAGTGGCTTCTCTGATCTCCATCTAATCTAATTTTAATCAGACTAAAGCACAGCCCAGTTACATAAGCAGGATATTATATTATCCCCATAGTTTAGCCTGGGCTTGCATTTCAACAAATTCTGCAAAAACGTTGGGGGATAAAGGCTTTGGGTGTCATCTGTGCACTTTAATGGGGAAATTGGAAGACTTCAAAATCTTCACAACTTGAAGGAATTAATATCTAATGGAAAAATTAGATATTTGCAAAAAGAAGTGTTTTCCAGCATCTCTCAAATCCCACCAAGATAGCAATGATCTAATCTGCTTACACACATATTATCTCTACATACGGGAACTTTAACTATTTTAGTTATCCACTAAGATAGGCACTCACTTTATGCATAGTTTATGAGTGGTTTGCTCAGATGTTGAAAGTTTTATAAGTGAATTTGTAAGGAAAATAGTTCATGCAGCAGGCAACACTGCAGAATAACAAATATTAAACCCAATTATTAAATCATTGCAATCATTTGGTCAGATGATAAATATTTAGGCACCTCCTGTATTCCAGACACTGTCCTAGGTGCTGGGAAAATGATGAAAAAGATAAATTCAGTCTCCAGGAATTTTTTTTTTTTTTTTTTTTTTGACACGGAGTGTCGTTCTGTCATCCAGGCTGGAGTGCAGTGGCGCAATCTTGGCTCACTGCAAGCTCTGCCTCCCATGTTCTGGCCATTCTCCTGCCTCAGCCTCCCGAATAGCTGGGACTACAGCTACAGGCGCCTGCCACCACACCCGGCTAATTTTTTGTATGTTTAGTAGAGATGGGGTTTCATTGTGTTAACCAGGATGGTCTCGATCTCCTGACCTCATGATCCACCCTCCTAGGCCTCCCAAAGTGCTGGGATTACAAGCATGAGCCACCACGTCCGGCCCAGTCCCCAGGTTTATGGAACGGATGGCCTAGAAGGAATACAGCCATTAAGCAAATAAATATTGAATTGTAATTTTGACATCTGACTCTGTAGACTTTCTCATAGTATTTGCTGTTTCATGTGAATTGGCTTTGCAGCCTTAAAACTGCTTTAGGGGCTGGGCGCGGTGGCTCATGCCTCCGTAGTCCTAGCACTTTGGGAGGCTGAGGCTGGCAGATCATGAGGTCAACAGTTTGAGACCAGCCTGGCCAACATGATCAAACCCCATCTTTTTTTTTTTTTTTTTTTTTTTGAGACGGAGTCTGGCTCTGTTGCCCAGGCTGGAGTGCAGTGGCCGGATCTCAGCAGCTCACTGCAAGCTCCGCCTCCCGGGTTCACGCCATTCTCCTGCCTCAGCCTCCCGAGTAGCTGGGAGTACAGGCGCCCGCCACCTCGCCCGGCTAATTTTTTTTGTATTTTAGTAGAGACGGGGTTTCACCGTGTTAGCCAGGATGGTCTCGATCTCCTGAACTCGTGATCCGCCCGTCTCAGCCTCCCAAAGTGCTGGGATTACAGGCTTGAGCCACCGCGCCCGGCCGATCAAACCCCATCTTTACCAAAAATATAAAAAATTAGCTGGGCATGGCCAGGCACGGTGGCTCATGCCTGTAATCCCAGCACTTTGGAGGCTGAGCTGGGCAGACCACTTGAAGTCAGAAATTCGAGACCAGCCTGGCCAACATGGTGAAACCCCGTCTCTACTAAAACTGCAAAAATTAGCCAGGCGTGGTGGCAGGCACCTGTAACCCCAGCTACTCAGGAAACTGAGGCAGGAGAATCACTTGAACCCAGGGAGTGGAGGTTGCAGTGAGCTGAGATCGTGCCACTGCACTCCAGCATGGGCGACAAGAGCGAGACTCCATCTCAAAAAAAAAAAATTGTAATTTTGACATCTGACTCTGTAGACTTTCTCATAGTATTTGCTATTTCACGTGAATTGGCTTTGCAGACTTAAAAGTGCTTCAGGGCTGGGCATAGTGACTCATGCCTGTAATCCCAGCACTTTCAGAGGCCAAGGCAGGGGGATCGCTTGAGCCCAGGAGTTCAGGACCAGCCTGGGCAACATAGCAAACCATATCTCTACAAAAAAATAAAATAAAACATAAATCATACCTGTAATCCCAGCACTTTGGGAGGACGAAGCAGGTGGATCCTTTGAGCTCAGGAGATCGAGATCAGCCTGGGCAACATGGCAAAACCCCATCTCTACAAAAAATACAACATCTAATTAGCTGAGCATGGTGACACAAGCCTGTAGTCCCAGCTACTTGGGAGGCTGAGGTAGGAGGATCGCTTGAGCCTGGAATGCAGAGGTTGCAGTGAGTCGAGATCGCACCACTGCACTCCACCCTGGGTTACAGAGCCAGACCCTGTCTCAGGAAAAAAAAAAAAAAAGTATTAGCCGGGTGAGGTGGTGCACACTTGTAGTCCCAGCTACTCAGGACGCTAAGCCCAGAGGTTGAGGCTGCAGTGAGCCGTAATCCCAACACCGTACTTCAACCTGAGCAACAGAGTGAGACCCTATCTCAAAACAAAACAAAACAAAAAAACTCCTTCAGGACACAGACCTTTATCCTGTCTCTGCTGTCTGCTGCAGGGTGTGGCCATGTCAAAAAAGCGACAACAACAATATTTGTTACCACTGCTGGATGAATAGGGCCATCAAAAATGGGAAACATTTTGAAAACATGTTGAAATCCAGTTATCAGCGTTTTGACCACTGCAGAAATAGTTTAAGAAATCGAGAATGTGAACATTCCGGAAAGGTCAGAGGACTTCTTCTTTGAACATTCATCCATCCTCCAAGTGAAAGTCTGTGAAATCAGGCAGAAGTGTCCTCTCCCAGTGCTGAGGGTCCCAAGAGCCAAAACCCTGCCAAGTTTCTTGATGCTTGGCCATAAAGAGGCTTCCCGAGCTACCCAGGCTAGAGCTACTCCAGACCCTGCCTGGAGCAGCTCTCATCTCCCCTGCTAACGATTAAGAAATGCAGGCACGGCCGGGCGCGGTGGCTCACGCCTGTAATCCCAGCACATTGGGAGGCCGAGGCGGGCGGATCACAAGGTCAGGAGTTCG